AGGTCTGGTTGTACAAGGATCTAATTAGGAACAGAAGATGTCTATCGATAGAACTGTTGAGCAGTTTTGACCACAACAGTCTCCTAGGGACTGAGTCAAACGCTGACTTTAGGTCGATAAAGCAGTAAAAAGTTTGCCACCTGGTATGGTAGTATATTTATCAACCAGGTGCTCTAAGACAAAGCAGTGGTCCAGTGTGGCACAGCCCACTTTAAACCCAATCTGTTCAGCACCAATAATATTGGACTCCTCAACCCAAGTGAGGAGTCTACGTTGGAGATATTTAGCATACAATTTTCCAATGATGGAGAGCAGGCTTATGGGGCGATAGTCAGCTGGATTGTTCCTATTTCCTCATTTAAAAACTGGAACAATAATTGCTAAGCTCCAGGAGGTAGGGATTCTGCCAGAGGTATTGATATGCATGAAGAGTCTTGCTAAGAGAGGAATCCACCACTTGGGATTGGATTCTAGCAGATCGGGGGGTATAGCATCAGGGCCAGGGGCTTTGCCTGACTTGAGTTCGGAGATAAGCTCGATAATCTCAGCGTGAGTCATGGGTTGCCAGTCAGGAACTGCAGGAGGCATCTGTGGCCCAAGCACGGTCGAACTTGTTGACGCCTGGAAAATTGCCAAGAAATGGTTTTCCCAATTTCTGTTGGAAATACAGCAGAGAGGGAGTTCTTGATGACTTGGCAAGGAGCTGGCAACAATTTGCCAAAATAATCGAGTGTTCTTCTGCTGGATGGAGAGGAGAAGTAGATCCCACTTCTCTCTCTCTTTAGCTCTCTTTTTCTTAGCAATTAGTCCTTTATACTCCCACTTTAAGCGATAGTAGTCCTCTGGTGGGCATTTATCCCCTCGATTACAATAGAGCAGGTAAACCTGATTAATCTGGTTCCTGAGCATCAGACACTCTTTGTCAAACCAAGAATTACTTCTTGAATGATATGGACCACTCTGCCTACAGACGGCTCCTAGCTCCCTTTGAACACTATTAATTAGTGATTCAAAGGCCAAGATTGTCCCTGGGCCACTACTTGTTAGGGCCTGATTGTATAGGCTGAGACACTCCGGAGATGATAAAAAGGAGTGGAACTTTCTTTCAGTATTAGAAGACCATTTGATCCTCCTTGTATACGAGGCCACATAGGGATCTAATATCTGGGGACCCCTAGGGAGATGTATATTTGAGGAAAGCCCAATGATTGTAACCAGGGGGTAGTGGTCGCTCTCTGTAAGGCAGTCCACATAAAAAGCACAGACTGCCTTTCTAAGAAGCTGGGATACCAGCACAAAATCAATAACACTACTCCCACATGAGGAACTAAAAGTAAATTCACCAGCTAGATCACCTAGGGTACTCCCATTTGTTTTATTGTTCATTTGTATCTTTTCTTGGCTATCATATGCTTCAGAGTTTCTTCAGCATCAAAATTCAAAAGCATCAATACTCTTTCTATTCTGATTCTTCTTTAAGGCCAACTCTTCCCTTCCGAAAGTGTAATGGGAAAACATAATTTCCTGCATGATTCTGACCTTTGTAGGTATAGACAGATCCTGCCCTATAAATATCTTTTCACTGTTATTACTTATTATATCAATTGCTAATCCATGGTATATTTCTGCCAGCGACTCTAGGCAGCTTCCAGGCAATAAAAACTATTTAGGAAATAATAATTTAAAAACTCCAGTACCTAGCCCCATGACAACATACAGTGAAATGATCCCGCTGGCAAAACCAAGTCTTCAGGGCTTTACGAAAGAGTGTCAAAGTGGGGGACAGTTTAATGTCTGTGGGGATGATGTTCCAAAGGAAGAGAACCACCATGGAGAAGGTCCTTCTTCTGGATCCTGCCAGATGGACCTCCTTCGTGGACAAGACTCGCAACATTCCTTGCCTCCCCACTCTAGGTGGTTAGGTGGATGTGACCAGTAAGACTCTCTCGGATAACACAGTCCCAAACCAAGCAGGGTTTTAAAAATGTCAACCAGCACTTTGAATTGCACCTGAAAGCGAATTGGCAGGTCCCACAGGAGAGGTAACACATGTGCACACCTACCTCTGCACAAAACCTTGTGGGTTTAAGCCTACCTTAGGCTTAAAGTGACCATTTCCAGTCCTTCTTTCTTAACCCTAAGAAGCAAGCAAGGGCAATCCATTTCTGAATTTTTGCCAAGAAAACTGCAGGAACTCATCCAGACAGTTACCTTCAATGACTTGAAGGCACACATACATATAATTATGTCTACAGTTTAATATCTAAGATATATTAGCTTTTATTGCTAATACAAGGTTTTGTATAAATGATATATATCCACATTTTTTTTTACTTTCTTATTTCCAGAATTATAGCTTTTAAAAGTCACAGTATTTGCCTCAGCTAATCTGGTTGGTTTACATTATTCTGTTGATGGGAATGGATTTAGATGAATAATTCACTTATTCAGTATTATTATAATCTCACATAAAATCCCTTTAATTCCTATTATGATTGAATTGTGGACACCATCCCTTTTATGAAGTGAAACAGAAACACCAAGATAACTTATTAAAAGGAAGTGATGAGAACCTCAGAAGTAGATTATGCCCTCAGTGGATCATGAAAATCCACTAAGAACTAGAAAAACAACGATGCATACATCAAAACTGAATGGCTACTAGATGCATCATGCGTAAAGGTATTGTAAAACATTATTTGCACATGTACATGTGTTTTGACTTATTATACTTATGGTACATTGTTTTAATTTGTGGGAAATTGGTGTTCAGATTTGTTAAGAGGCATTAATTCTCAGACCTGCTACTGGCATTGCTTTGCAATGGCTCATTTCTCTTGTTGGTTGATGATTTATTTATATGTTATATTTGGACCTTTCTGCAATCTAGATTAGGGGTGTCAAACTCATGGCCCACAGGGCAGATGTGTCACGTGCCGGCCCCACCCCTGCTTGGTTTAGCGAAGGGGGAGAAATCCCGATACATCACGTGACGACGCCATGATGACGCGAGTTTGACATCTGATCTAGATGATTATGGAATTAATACTGTATGATACAGAAAACACTATAACAATGGAAAGCATGCAAGTCATCATAGAATCAGATCTCAGTAATAATGGCAATTACCTAAAAATAAAGTAAAGCAGAACCTTTCAGAACAGCATCTTTCTGAAATGCTGGAAGGGGCATCTCAGGAAGGGGAACTGCACAATCTTCAACTGTTGTTTTTCCAGAGAACTGGCACTGTTCCTGAAATGGCTGACACCTCATGAAAATCTTCTGCCACCCACGATTCCCTGAGAAAGCAGCCAGTGTCAGCAATTGCTCACAATAAGAGCAGACCAGAGGGCTGTCATAGTCTATGACAAAGCAAATGAGAGGTTTAATCAACCACTTCATTCCCACACAATTGAAGAAATGGATGAGAAGGAAGCTATGTCTTTAAATATATATTTTATGTAGATATCGTTGTTTCGTTTGAACTCCCTGAGTCATTTGGGGTTTAATGACTTTTTTTTTCTGTAGGAAGTTTTTGCTGAAACATTTTCTGTTGCGGTTCAAGTTTATGCAGCAAACTATTCCTGAGATCTGTGATTACACCAAGAGTTTCCTTTCACTTTTTATTTTATTCTAACTGTACCTGGGTTGTGGAAAGTAGATATCTCATACACAGATATCTAGAGATACACAGTGAAAATTTTGTGGATTAAGCCAATAAAGCTTGAGAACGTAATGATAATCTGAGCTAAATGAACACATTTTTCAATTAATTAAATAAATGACCTGCTTCAGTGAAGGTCTCCTATGAATGACAGATCTTCAACTTCAGTGAAAATCTAAGTAGCAACAACCAATCGATTTTCACTGGTGAAAAGAAACAGCATCACCCACACAAAAAAAGGAACTTTGTGTGTATGTAGCAGTCATTTCCCCTCTTTTGGGCAATATGCTTACTCTTGGCAAGGATTGATTCAAACTCACACATGCTCCCCACCACAACATTGCTACACCATGTGGAAAAGGTATTCTTCAAGTGACTTTTCTAACAAATGTTGATTGGGAAATGTGGGGAAATTTCCCTTGCGAGTTCTCTGCGGTATTTAAGACCATCTACTCTTCTGTTTCAAGAAAATGTTGTAGTTATCTGAATATTTCTAAGGCCAGACAATGAAGAGCTACAGGTAAGATAAAGTGGGGTGGTTGTTGTTGTTTTTTAAAGTGGAAGAGAAATCAGTTGATTGCATCGTTAGGTAGCCAGAGTAGTAGAAAGACAGGGAGTTTGACTATTAAGTGGAAGGCAGCGTGATTATTTTTAAATGTTGTAATAAATCATACGTAGAGAACATTCTGGAAATATTTGTGGGAATATACATTTTCAAAAATTAAAAATACCCCTGCCTATAAAACTGGATGTAATTCAATAAGCAAGAGACTATTCTTATTTTTGTTTCTTTTGTTCATATACAACAAAAGGAAAATTATATGGAGTATAAAAATGTTTGTTTTGTCCTTTATAACAAAGTAGATGCTAGTCGCTCTTTCAAAATATGGTTTCATCTACAATACATGGTTGTTATGATCTGACATACACAACAGATACAAGATAGAAGTAATGAGGGAAATAGAAATGAGATTGGTTCCAACTCTCTAGCCTCATAAATGACTGGCCCTCAGTTAGAATTATCCAGAATTATCAGACAGCATGATCAAATACCGTGCTGATCACATCGGGAAGATTCTAGATGAGAGGAAGTCTGGTTATAGTGACTTGATGGTTGTAGATTAGGGATTCCTCACCATCATCTCAAGCCACCTAATATATTCTTTATCAATGCTGCTGACCTTTGTTCACTCCCCTCCCAAAAAAAACCCTCTTCCAAAGCAATGAGCTGCCAGTTAAGTTACTTAAGGAAGATACTTTGTTTTGCATGATAGCAATAGCACTTAGACTTATATACCACTTCACAATGCTATATAGCCCTCTCTAAGCGGTTTACAGAGTCAAGCATATTGCCCCCAACAATCTGGGTCCTCATTTTACCCACCTCGGAAGGATGGAAGGCTGAGTCAACCTTGAGCCTGGTGAGATTCAAACTGCCAAAATGCAGGCAGTTGGCTGCAGCAGAAATATCCTGTAGCCTTCTAACAACTCTGCTACCATGGCTCTGATGATAACAACTTCTTCTTTTTCAATTATAACAGAGTAAAAATATTAGAATCAGAGGAGAAGGGGAACCTTCATATCAAGGATCTGTTAAAACTTGCAGGTGGCAATTTAGAAGCCCAAATCTTAAGGCAATAAGTAGACTAAGCTCTATTGAACTGAGTGCTTTGCATAATCAGGCGGAAGCCAATCCCCCATAATCCCAGTAGGGACACTGAGCAGATTTTCAGTGGTGGCAGCTCATGCAGTTTGTTCAGATGGAATCATCATCGCCAATTAATGGTCCAATTCAGCCTGAGGCAAAAAAAAAAAAAATAGTCTTGCTTCATGCTACTCTAAATGCCAGGGGTGGGCAACTAATTTTCCTAGGGGGACAAATGACAAACTGGGACAGTTGTGGAGGGCTGAACCAATAGGGCTATGAAAGTGTGTAGGCATGTACAGATGTGCATATGTAAATTGAAACGAAAATAGAAGTTGCTTTCAAAATATAAAGCAATGCAGTTGTATTGCATGCATGGCGTATGATTACATTTGATTTCTAATTTCTGATTGACCTCACAGGGGCCAGACAGGGACAGCCAAAAGGTCAGATGTGACCTAGGAGTAGCAAAATGCTCAGGTCTGCTCTGTAAAAAGGTTTAAAGGTTTCACCAGTCCCGTTGGGCTGCTGATCATGTCTGATTCTTAGCCTTGGTAGCTTCCCTCTTCATACAAAAGTCAGATCAATTAGAGGTGAATCTTATTCAACAAATGCAACAGGAGGCAGGATATTAAGTATGTTATATTAATATTAACTTATTATGTATGCTATATAAATAGTATTAAGTATTATTAAGTATGTTATGAGCAGGAAGAGTTTTTAAACCCCTAGTATGAACAATTGCTACATGTTTCCTGTTGATTCTATGCCAAAGCATTCCCCACTTTTCCTCTCATTTATACCTCACTATCACTAGGAGACTTTTTTTTTTCTGGCCAATAACCTGCTCCCCAATGTCACTAGGGATTATTTCATCTGGGTTGTTTTATCTGAAATTACAAATGCCAAAAGAATGTCTGCTGTTGCAGATATCAAAGCTATTTAAATCGTAATTTTACTCCTGCCCCATGATTTGCTTAACTGTTGGTTGAATAAAAAGCAGGGCATGGGGTCCACTTATCACACAGTTAAGCAGAAAACATAATTTATAAATTGCAGTACTGTCAGGCAATTTAAGGAATTGCCAAAGCCCAACAACTCACATTAAGGGATTAGCACTCTGTATGAATCAAAACACAGTGCAATTCTTCTTTGCAGGACTTTGTGGGACTTCAAACAGGCATATAAGTAAAGCCTGTCAATTTTATTCAGAGACTTGCACTGCAGAGAAGGACCATGGATGCATTTTCATGTTTTTTCCCCCCAGTTCTGAGTTATATCCAGCTTCAGCATGCATGATGCAAGGTTCAAGTTTCACATCACAATTGCGAAATTGAACAGGCAGGAAACAAATTATTGAGTAATGAATAAAGTACGCTGTATTCAGATTCCTCAAGGTTAAGCCTTGAGAAATATAGTTCAAGTACTTTTAACTAGTAAACAATAGCCATGTAGCAATAAGAAGTATATTCTTGAGGAAGAAATCCAAACAGTTCATTAACTTGTACTGTTCAGGGAAATAAACTAGTTCCACTACACCTTTGCTATCAAAAGTGTGGAGTTCTTCTAAACTTCCTATAGGCATTTTAGTATTGACTCCCTCCCCCAGCCAATATATTCAAATGAAAGTAGTGGAGGAGATAAGATCTCCAATCTCTTTGAGATGGGCAAGATACTTGCAACGCTATGGCTTTTTTCCCATCAAAAATGGTAAAAATAGTAGGAGTTGGGGGAGAAGAAGAGAGACTAGCACCTTCTCAGCCTCTTCTCCTATGCTAGGAGGACTAACAAAATAGCTGCTATGTGAGAGCCCCAGCTATCCTACTTCCACCAAAAGATAAACTAGTTGATGAGGAGGAAAGATAGCTGAACTGTATTAGGTGTGTTGGAAGAAATGTTCATCTGGGTTCAGTTGCAAGTGAGGAGAAAGACACTGGAAACATGGAGGCTGCTTAGAAGGATGGTTTAATGGTGAAGAAAAACCACAAAGTATGTATGATTCTGGGTAGCTGACCACATGGAGTGGAGAGTGAGAGATATTTATACTATCTCTTGGGCTTTGAACTTGAGTTTCCTGTTCTTGTGACATGTATTCTATTGGCTGCTGTAGGGGTCATGTGCAAATCCTAGGAGTTTGTCTGAGATAAGTTTGGTTGAACCTTGCTGAGTTATGCAATGAAGGGCTTGGTTGTGCCATGTGGTGAGCTCTGCTGATAGATAATCTTATTATGTCCTGAAGGGTCATGTCTTAATCCCATCACCCTGGAGCTGGAGGCTAGTATATCATCTAGTATAATCATTTTGTCTTGCAGATAGGCTGGCCCAGTCTTTCTAAATGGGTACCAAATATCTGCTGGGGGAAGGGAGTTGAAGGGAATTACTCTTTGTCTTTAAAAACTTGTTTCTCTTTTTCTCATCCAAGGAAATATAATATTCTACCTTTTTAATATTCCTCAAAATATTTTAGTCTTCTGGGAGGGGTGGGTGCTAACTTTCTTCAGATGTAAACAGAAGCAACATCAGGTACAACCTCAAAGCTCTGAAGTTTTATGTACCAATGATTTGCCTTCTTGTTTTAATGTTTCTAGTTTACTCAAAACTCAAACAGAGATATAAATATAGGTAGTTCTTCAGGATTGAAGAAGGCATACTGTTTTGAACTTCAACATGGAGGTAGGTCTGTAATCCCAAGATGGAAGTGCAGAGTGCAGTACTAGAAATCCATTGTAATAACTATGAATGTTATTTTGTGATGCTGTTCATGGTTTTGTTATCAGTTTTTGGCGGCACTTGTCTTCAAAGCCAGTGGAGGCTTCCTATAGCACAGGACTTGCCAGTAGCTTCCCTCAGCTACTGCAGCTTTAGTTCCCTTGACTGGATGTCACAGTGGCATGGGGTCTCCTTCACAGTGACCCAGTAGTTCTTGTATGGATGATCTTGAGGTCTCTTCCCAGTTTCCAGGTTATACCATAAAACAATTGGCAAGGCATATGGTGGTAGTCCATTCTGATGATGTATCCCACCCACCACATCTGACTTCTGGTAATCAAGGACTTAATGCTGGTGGACTTTGCATGATCCAAAATCTCAAAGTTAGAGACACAGTCTTGCTAATGAACACCAAGGAGGGAACTGAGAGCATGCATATGAAATTTCTCCAGTTATTTGATGTGCCATCAGTACAGAGTTCAGGACGCACATCCATATTAGGAGATAAGAGATAACCACAATCCTGTAGACTTTTAGCTATGATTGTTGTATTGAGCATTCTAGTATGCAGCCACCACAGAGCCTGAAGTTTTGGACTTCAGCTTGCATTAGACTCATCTAGTATAATCATAAGAAGAGACTGTGGGGGTTGTTTAAAACACCAGGAAGGCTCCAATCTGCTTAGCTACCTTAGAACAGAAGTGAGATTCTTTTCATGGCAAAGCATTAGAAATGTCATGCTTGTTTAGCGTTCCTTTCTATATGAGTATGTACTTCAAGTCAGTGTTGACTCCTGGTGACTTTCTGGACTAGATTCTACAGTTTTCTTGGCAAGATTTCAGAAGTGATTTGCTCTTGTTTCTTTCCAAGCCTGAGAGAGAATGAGTGGCCAAGATTACTTGTTTGGCTTTGTACCTGAAGCAGAGCTTGAAGTCACTGTCTCCTTCCTGTTTTCTAGTTTGATGCCTTTAACCTCTGCACCAACATGGCTGTCCATTGCATTTCTTAGCAGAATCTAAGAGCTTTCTGAGTCTAGTATTCACATGCTACCGGCTACCTGTGTCATTCTAAAGCACAGAGTAAGTTGTCCATCTTAACCATAAGGCAGCTTGCATTGCTGCATGTTGTTCAAATGTTTCCAAGTTCATAATTTGGCCCTGACTTGGACATATTTGTGAAGAAAGTCAGTCGCTGGTAATATGGAGGGCTTACTGGAATTTTGTTTTCATTTGCAGGTGTCCATATGTTATTCCTGATTTTTCTCTTTCCTGTTTCTTATGGAAAGTGGTGCCCAGACTCCTGTGCATTTTCAGTGCTAATATGCTCAACATTTCTGCCTTCCGAATCCATCATGTGGAAAATACAGGTGAAAGTTTTCATCATGATAGACAATCCATGGAAATCTCCTGGTTCTTCTTTCTCTCTCTTTTTTTAATACAAAGTAATTTTGTATTTATGCAGATAACTGCCAAGATTACACCATATACTCCTGGCCTACTTTTGTCCTGGAAGGGGAACCCACAGTCCTAAAATGTCTACAATTCAAAAATAGAAACCCTTTTGATCTATCCCTTAACCTGACTTGGAAGAAAAAAGATTCATTGGGTATTATCCCCGTAGGATTCAAGGGACCAAGAATAATGTCACAAGGTGATGCTGTTTGGCTTTTACCAACCATTCTTCAGGACAGTGGGGAATATATCTGCACTCAAAGGTAAGCATACAACTCATGGGATCATTCCATTTTACATAGCTTAACTTGGGAAAGAAAGTGCACTTAGCCAGGAGTAGGTAAGAGGTTAGAGGAAAAGGCATTAGAGTACTAACACAGCACTCACAGTATACTCTTTGGAGGAAAATTGTACAATATATTTCATGTATGTTAATTACACTGTTGGAAAATACATCAGTACAGTTTTATTACCACAAAGCTTAATTATTCAATTTAGGTGAAAGGAGGACAAAATACTTTTAATTTGTATATTTATGTGAACTGATTGGTTTTTTAAAAAAATTTGGACTAATGTGAACATAGTTTATGTCAGATTGTGCAGGTTCCCTGAATTTTTTGATATATTTAGTGGTTGCCAATTTAGGGATTAATGGTGTCCATAATGAAAGAAT